CATAGGGGTTGATAGGATAAGCAGTTTACATAAGAAAGATAAGACTGTTTGTTTCATTTCCTGTCCGGCTCACAGGAATTGACAAGAACATTGCCTTTCTGGCAACAGCAACTGGCATTGTTACACTTGCTGAGAATGTTCTTAGCGGTTCAGGTGAGGGTTACAGCACGATCAGGAAAAAAAACAGTCTGAAATCGTGTTCCCAAACTCATGACGTGCGATTCACAAACGGTTCCCATAGAAACCAATGAGCCTGTAATCCACACCTAAACCGAAAAGCACTGCTCAGAAATTGGATAGGACTCTTTGTCAATCCACACTGAATCCACACTGCCAGTGCACCGGACATATTTAAACAGGCACCATAGGAAGCAATGTTATTTCACATGTCATGTGGTTTGGTTGTGGTTCAAAAACCACATCCAATCCGCATATACTTTATATGAACAGGCTCTTAGAGATGAAAATGGTTGGAAGGTTTACTTTTGATAGAACATTCTATGTGACTGATGTAATTGATTTCACCATATCCTTCTTATTATTTGTAGTGTACGAAGCCGGAAAGATCTTAAAGATATTTTTGATGTATATGCTGTTGCCTGCAACCGATTGGGTTCCAAATCCATTCCACTGTACACAAATTTGACAATTGATGAAAATGTCAGCGGAGTCCAGCCAGACCTAGGTTTGTACATGCAACATTGTTTTTACTCACTAATTAAAGAAAGAAAACAGAGTAAAACAATTCCATTAAATTAAGTTATCAAATCACCTTACAAATTACAGAGCAATTTTAAATGTTGCCAAATGAAGGTCATACTTCAAAACTCCTTTAAACCCCTTTTTGTCTTCTAGACTGGACTGTCTGATTCTCTAATTTGGCAAGAAGTATTTCCACCTACTATGATAATTTTATACACATCTGAATTGTTTTCACATATTACTTAGATCAAACTTTTTCTATGTCAATTTATTCTTTCTACAGAAAGTACAAATACTAGGGGCAGCTGTATAAGTACATATTGGGGTTTATTTACTAAAGGCAATTACACTGTGTATTTTGCAAATGCAGTTGCACTCTGCAAGGCTATTTGCTCCAGAGCGTAGTAAATGAGGGGAAGCTCAGCTGACTTCCATCATCATCATATCTTGTGCAAACAAAAATGTTTTTTTTTTAAACTTTCCTTCCATTTGATTGGGTACTCTTTGCAAAGTGAAGCTTCACCTCATTTACTAAGCTCTGGAGCAAAATGCCCTTGCAAAGTGCAGCTGCACTTACAACGTGCACAGGTTATGTGCTTTTAGTAATTCAGCCTCACAGTATCCTCACATCAGCATGAACAGTCACTATGGGTGGCCATGAAGGAAATCGACAACATTTTGGGCAGTATTAGTGTAGGGAGTCTGCATGATAATTAATATCATAATGATATATACCTCATTTTTACAATTTGTTTTTTTACAAGAATTCAAAGTATATCTACTATATGTAAGGCAATGTTGCAACAACCATTGTAAATAGGATTTCTTATTAGAACAAAACTATTTAGGCCTTGGCTTGAGAAAATGTCCTGCCTTATTTGGAGAAAAAATTAATAATTCTGAATTTGCAAGCTTTGTTACCGGTATTTATAAACTGAAATTATATAAATTGATGCACATTGTTTTCATGTTCATCATTGCCCCTAAAAAAGGGTCTGTAGTCTATGTAAAGGGCTTATGCTTTCAAGACAATGTGATCCTATTATTTAGACCATAGGGTGTTATTTACAAAAATGAGTTCAAAATCTGGTGCAGTTCTGTATACAAACCAATCAGCTTCCAGATTTATTGCCGAAGCTTAACTGAACAAACTGAAATTAAAAATCGATTGGCTACCATGCACAGCTGCACCAGATTCTGAGTGCACCAGTTTTAGTAAATCTACCCCATACTGTGTATATGAACTTAACCATATTAGTGTGGACAAGATGTTAAATCAGAATTGTCCTGCTGTGTCCCGCAAATTAATTCTTTCTAGAGGCTGAAGGTGTTTTTTGCCATCATGCATTTTATGCATGATGATAAAAAACCTTCTGTGTCCTGCTACCCCCACAGCCCCCCCCCCCCCGCCTAATACTCACATGAGCCCCCTCTCAATCCAGAGATGTGCATGGGAGCCTCGGCTGTTCTGGGTCTCTCTCTCCTCATTGGCTGAGACACAGCAGCGGGAGCCATTGGCTCCCACTGCTGTCAATCACAGCCAGTGAGCAGGGGGAGGGGCCGAGCCATGGCTCTGTGTCTTATGGATGCATAGAGTGGGGCACAAAAGTGAGCATGTACCAGTGCTCCCAAAGCAAACAGCTTGCCATCGGGAGCACTGGTCAAGGTGGAGGAGCCAGGTGTGACCGCGGGGGACCTGAGAAGAAGACGGTTGAGGCTGCTCTGTGCAAAACCATTGCACAGAGAAGATAAGTATAACATGTTTGTTATTAAAAAAAAACAAACAAACCTTTAATATCACTGGAGCATGGCCTTGCCAGTGAAAAAGGGTTGGTCCAACTGTTTTGAAATGGATGGCTACTTTTTCTGGAAAAAAGTGTACAATTTTCTTACATGTATTTTTTGTGCAGAAATGTAGAACGTATAAATAAACATGACACACCAGTGGTTTACATGCTTAGAATATGCTCCCAATTGGTCAGCTCTGTTAGTATCATGATGGGCCAGTATATAGTCAAGAATGGGGATGCATGGTTGTACTTGACTTTTCAGATTTGTGATGTAAACAAATAGCACCAATTGTTGCACAGCAGCCCCATAAGTAAGACAACAGATATTAGCTGAAAATCTGATTGTATCTTGTTTTGTGTTGTAGATTTATTGACCAGGAATGTATCCGACTTGGGTCTATTCATTTGCAGCAGACAGCAGTTGTCAGAAAACCAGAGACAAATTTCTGATGCTATTGCTGCTGCCAGTATTGTTACCAATGGCACTGGCGTAGAAAGTACCTCACTTGGTGTATTTGGATTGGGAATACAACAATTTAATGACTTCTTGGTCAATTGCCAAGGGGAGCACTACACGTATGATGAAGTCCTCAGCGTTATTCAGGTCAGATTTTTTATAATTTATCCGTACAAATTTTTCTGCTATGATTTAGAAATAAATTAGTTATGATTAGAATTGCATTCCTTTAGACAAATTTAACTGCTGGTCATAAAACAATCCCATCTGCAGTTCATCATGTTTACTGTTGATGTTGACACTGGAATTTTAAGTCAGGCGTATAGTGTCATCAGTATATGTATTCAGATAAACTAAGTGTGTATGTTTTACTGATCTTTTAATATACAAAATCAGTAGTAATGTATCTTTGTTTCAGAAGCTGAAAGGATGAAAATGTTAATTTAGCAAACAGATGCATTTTGAAACCACCATGCCAAAAACATAACAAATGTTGGGGGTACAACTGGAAGGGCTCCATAGCACTGCTGTCACTCTTACTTTAATTGATCAGTGGATTCTTCAATACAGATAAATTGATGATGGCTAAGCAGCAGTTGTCACTATTATCTTTATAATGTTGGGGTTCTGACTATTTTCTCTGCTTTTGTACGGATTAACCTTCTCAGTAAAAAGACATACTGGTAGTTTAATGTGCTTCCATCCTGATTAGTGTGTGTATGAATGCTCCTACAACTCAGGTAGGTGACAATACCTAGGGAAGCAAACCAGTCATGATTAGTCTAATGCAAAAATATGAATATCCATTCATAAATTATTTTAACTGTGCAGCCCTATTTATGAAAGTTATATATTTGACCCTTATTTAACGTTTTAGAGCCTGATACTTAAAGTAGAATTCCAGGATTTATCTAACTAAGCTTAAACCTGCTCTCACCCCCTCCTAACCCCTATACTAACTACCCTTTGAAAGGAAGATGCTTATACTTACCCATTCTGAGGGTGCTGCAGTCCGGTCACTTGATCTTCCCAGTAGCTGGCTTTAGGGTAGAGGAGAGAGCATCAACAATGGCTGGAATGTCTGGTTGGTGACATCACCCATAAGTTTACACAATGGGTAATACATTGTCCGCTGTCCCTTCTCTCCCCTGAAGCCAGCTGCTGGGATATGATCACAGGACCGGACCTGATTGCTCACCTTCCTTCTACAGAGTAGTTAATATAGGATTTAGAGCGGAAGTGGGAGCAGGTTTAAGCTTAGTTAGATTGACCCTGGAATTCTACTTGAATGTCTGGATCAAAGATCACTTGAAGTCTGACATTTCCTGTCCTGTCAACTACTTGACTTCACACATGCTTCCTAACTGCTGAAAGTGTGAAGTAAATAATTGTTTCAATTGGACCAGTTGCAACTGGTTTTCCGTAAAGTTCCCTGAGCCATTAACTAATTTTTCTTATGTGAATCTTTCAAAACATTACCTATTTGCCTGAGCTGTATAAAAAGAATTAAGAACATTTTGATCTTAGGGGTTGAGCAGTGTTTGAGGTCAGGCAGTTGATAAGTAGGAATTGTCAAACTTCAGATGAACTTTGACCCTGAAACTAAAAAAAAAGTGCTATTTAGGCAGCCCAAGTACAGATAAATAAGGGACAAATCTGTGTTTCACAATGATGCCTGAACTGCTATCTTAATTTAAAACTAAATTGTTTGTAGTGCCAGTTGTGACTGTTTTTTAAGGTTCCCTGAGCCATGAACTTGTATGAATTTTTCCAATGGGAAATTTGTGAAAAGATTACAAATTTCTCTGAGCTATGTAAATAAATACTGTCTTGTCTCTTTATGAGGAATGTTTTTGGCATATAGAAAATTAACACTGTATGTTTGTAGTATAAGTACTAAGTTTATTCACAAATATATTGCCATGTAAAGCTAATATGTAGATTTCAACCAATTGACATGCAGAACGCCAAAGTCACACTAGAATTCTATTTCGTTTACTAATTATTTTTACCTTTTTTTTTTTTTAATTGCAAAGAAATTTGAGCCGAGCATTAGTATGCGCCAGCAAGGACTGATGTCATTTGAAGGGTTTGCAAGGTAGTCACCCATTTTTCAATACATATTTATTAGGGTATATCCACATTCATATTGTATCTTTTGCTAATGTTCCTCTATATTTTTAGGTTTCTGATGGATAAAGATAATTTTGCTTCAAGAAATGATGAGTCTCAGATAAATCTAGATGATCTGCACTTCCCCCTATCATATTATTTTATTGAATCTTCTCACAATACATATCTTACTGGACACCAGCTGAAAGGGGAGTCTTCTGTAGAGCTGTACAGTCAGGTAGGAAATTTAATGATGGTTCTAAAGTGTATTTTAAAAATAATAAAACATTTTATATGTTGCCTTCATACACATGAAATTTTAACGGTTCGGCACAGCAGTTAGTGCAGTGATGTAGCTTAGTTGTAGTTTGTTGGCTTTTTTACTTGAATGGTCAAGCAGTGAGTCATTTGTTTAGAAGCTTGTGAAATTGTTCATGTCTTTCTAATACTTTAGCAAAATAGGTTACATTTAATTTACTGTGATGCTATTTCAAAAAATATCTTTTGTTGGAAAGATATAGTCAGCGAAATGCAGGTCATGCATGCTACCCAATGAAAGATCATTACACAAACAAACATTTACATTTGTGTTAGGCAAATGTACATTTTCTTCCTAAGGAGAGTATGGAGTGCTCTGGAGAACCCCCCAACTGACATTCTTTCTCAGGAAAACAGCAGTAAAATGGTCTTAAAAAATCTGTCCTAAATAAAAGACCTTCCTCCTGTAAAGACACTGGGCAGGGAAAGTTTGTTTCTTTCTGAGAGGGCCTGCAGACAAACATTTCTTCATCTGACCATAATCATTTAAATATTCTCTGATGACTAGGCTTCTTTAGGCTGGTCATAGATAGGCAGATATTTCCCTAAAAATGACAGGTGGGGAGATATTTGTTTTTCCTCATGTGAGTTGTCCCGGCATTGAAACACATGATCTTGTTTCCAGTGTATAGGAAAATCTCCATGAAAAATAATAAGTGCTTCTGGCTGCTTGAAGTGCTATCACTCTCAAAGTCTAACTCTGGCAATTACACAAAAAAAAACCCTTGCAGTGTGCCCCAAACCCATACTGAGTTAAATGCTTGTGAAGTCTATAGATAGACAAATATGCCGCAAAACTTTACTTATTCCTTGCTTTGAATGCCCTCTTCTCTCCTGTGCTCTGGGTTGCTGGTGGGCCCTCACCATCCTCACATAAAATGCAAGGCTTTTGGTCCCTCATTGTATTTGACTATGTCAGCATGTGACAACCAGTCAGAGCACCTTAGAGAAGTGGCTTCAGGGTACCAGTCCACCAGAGCAAGGAATACAGCAAGTATTACTATCCCAAAACGTAATAAACATTTAATCCTTGCAGTGCAGGGGGGGTCTCCACTATGTGTAACTGCCAGAGTTCAGCTTTAAACCAAAATTTTGATTAGTTTTGGATATGGAGTGCAGAAAAAGTAGATATTTTTTAGGTTTTAAGTACTGCCTGCTTTTTCTCTTCTATTCCTGCTCTGCCTGGCACCCTTTATCTGGAAAGGAAATAAAGAGAAGTCTCCAAAATGGGAGATTTTCCTTTTTGTCCTTCCTTTTTGAGTGAGGAAATATCTCTCAAAAAGGAACACAGACATTCTCCACAGACAGGCTCACCACCCTTCTCTGCTTTATCCAGAAATTCTATGCATGAAGGTAAAAAAAAAACCTTTTGTGTGTAACAGCCCCCCCTCCCCTCCCCACCCCACCCCACCCCCCCAACACTTACCTGAGCCCCCTCTTGGTCCAGAGATGTCCTTGATTGCTTCGGTTCTCTGGAGACTCTCACTTCTGATTGGCTTAGTCAATCACAGCCAGTGAGCCAACCAGGAGGGGGAGAGACCGAGACACAGCTCTGTGTGTTAATGAAGACACGCGCCTGCTTAAGTGCCACCATAGCAAACTGTATTGCATTGTTGTTTATTATTTACTGATGTTGGTGTTGGAAGTGTGTAATTTGTCTTAATAAACTTATTTTAACCTTATTATGTTCGATTCCTGTTTACTTAAGGTACAATCCATTGATCTGATCACTCTTGCTGGATGTCTGCATCCCTGACATAATACTGAAGCCATTAAGAGTCAGATCGGCTACACCTAGGCATTTGCTAACTGCTGCAAGATGCATTCTGAGGAGGTTTTGTATTATGCACTGCTTGTAACAGAAGACAGGGGATATTGACGCCAGATCTTGAAAGAGCAGTCTAGGGAACAGTTGTTTGAATGCATCCATCTGTCTCTCTCTCTCTCTTGCTGATCAGGGCAGAGTTTTGTTCAGAGAAATTCAGCCACTCATTCAAATCTGTGCAGAGTTGGCTTTGCCTAGTATCCCTAAGGGTGATGATGATTATTCTGCTCCTTTTAGTGTGTCTCAGGTGGAGTTTCTGGTGTGGCTATTGGAAGATGATAAACCCTATTTCCTTGAACATTGTTCGATATATTCACGAGAGGCTCTGCTGGATTGTATCAATACAATACATTCTCTAGTCAGATAAGTGAATTGTAAATTGAGTTTTTTTCAGCCCCTCCGCCAAGCCTGATCAGATATATCCTATTCAGCTTCAGTTCAAAGAGAAGTATGGGCTTTTTTTTACACAATTCTACTTAGATAGGTGGATGCAGCATCTGTCCCCCGCCAGCTCTAAGTGTGAGAAATCAGCAATCACATGACTGCTGATCGCTGAGTTCTCACAGTCACCGCTGACTGCTCTGCCCCCCCCCCCCCAACCCCCATCTCCCGCACTCACTGGAGCGCTGGGTTGTGGAGGGGGTGGGAACGGCTGGCTCAGGCTCTCATTGGCTCACTGAGAGGCTGAACCGGGCATCACTCCAGACTTTGGGCTGGCTCCCAACTTTGAAGTCAGGATCTTTCCCTAGCCTGGACTAGCTGCGTGACGTCAGGCTTCAGCCCGCTGTCAGCTGAAACCAGGTCACAGGAGTGAGAACGAACTGTACACCTGTGATCCACAGGAGAAGTACAGCCGAAAGAGCTTTCGCAATACTTCTCCTTTTAACATGCACAAATCCACTTGCCTCTAGATCCCCCTCTCTGTTACCCATAGCAACCACAGCTGCAGTTCAGTATACTTTGCTTCCAATTGTATGTTCGTATTCTGTCTCCATTAGCTGCACATATCCTGCATTTAATCCAGTGAAAACACCTACTACTCCATTGTCCCTTGCAAACCCCAGAAATCCTCCTCTGTAACTGCTTCTTCTTTTCCACAATCTCTCAGTGCTGCCTTCACTCCTCCATCTGCTGCACAATCTATTCAGAGCACTGAAATCACTCCAGTGTCCAAACCTAAAAAAAAAAAAAAAATGTTCCTAACCCATGCAATTCTGCTTCTGTCTACTCCTGCCTTCATGCATGTTGTTCCGGACCAGTAGGCCTCCACGCCAGTAATTCCAGTACTGCCTGCCACGATGCTAGGTGCTCTGTTCCCACCTGGCACAATGCAACTTGCTCCAGTTCAGCCTGACACCACACTGCCTGCTCCGGTCAAGCCTGCCACTATGCCAGTTGGTCAGGTCAAGCCTGCCACCATGCCAGTTGCTCCAGTCAAGCTTGCCATCACACCTGTCTTTCCAGTCCAGCCCATGTTAATTGAACCTTCTACTTCAGACCTTCCTGTCACTACTTCAATTGTGGGCCAGTCCACTCCTAAATTATCCTCAATCCTGCCTTCTGCCTTTTCATATTTGGGATTCTGAGCAACCAGGCCAGATCCAATGACAATTACATCTATGCAAGCCTTTCTTAGGAGTTCCATCCATCCTTTGGACAGGCTGCCTCATTCAACCAAGTGGGGCCCTCGTCCTTTTTTTTTAAGCCACCCTGCATCCAGTCTGTGTTCCAGCTACCCAGCTTAACCTCAACAATAGGTCATTCACTATCCAGCCTGGCATTACTTGTTCCCTGTCCACTGTCCAGTTTGGCTCCATAGACTCTTTGCTGGCTAATTAAGCGGACCTCCCTGATCCCTTCACCATTACCCTACCTGATGGCATGCTGCCTACTAATGGGATCCAGTCCCCTTCTATACTGCCTACTGACGGGGTACAACCTGCCTCTTTGCTTGCCAGCGGGGTTCATTTTGCCACTGGTGCCATGCTGTCCGCTACCAAATCTGCCTGGTGATATGCTATCCTCTGTCAAGTTTGCCTCTGATGCTTCTTTGCCTGTTGCCCAGCTTGGTGGTCCTGTGTCTGTTGTTGAGCCTGAGAATCCTGTTCCTTATGCCCAGCCTGAGGGTCCTGATGCCTAGCCTAAGGGTCCTGTTCCTGATGCGCAGCCTGATGGTCCTGTTCCAGATGCCCAGCTTAGTGTTCCTGTGCGGCTCCAGATCCAGTTCCAGATGCCCAGCTTAGTGGTCCTGTGTCTGCTGTTCAGCCAGAGAATCCTGTTCCTTATGCCCTGCCTGAGGGTCCTGATGCCTAGCCTAAGGGTCCTGTTTCTGATGCTCAGCCTGAGGGTCCAGTACTCAATGTTCCGTCTACCTCTGGTGGTCCTGTGTCCAACAGCCTGCCTGCCTCTGACGGTCCTGAACCTGATGACCCACCTGATTTTGCTGATGCTGTGCCTGCTGCCCAGCTGGAGTGTCCTGCTCCCGCGTGCCCAGCCTGATGGTCCTGCTCCCGCGTGCCCAGCCTGATGGTCCTGCTCCCCCGCGTGCGTGCCCAGCCTGATGGTCCTGCTCCCGCGTGCCCAGCCTGATGGTCCTGCTCCCGTGTGCCCAGCCTGATGGTCCTGCTCCCGCGTGCCCAGCCTGATGGTGTCGTGCCTGCTGCCATGTCTCCCTCTTGATGCTCCTCTACCTGCTGCCTAGCCTGCCTCTTGATGCTCCTCTGCATGATGCCCAGCCTGCCTCTTGATGCTCCTCTGCCTGCTGCCCAACCTGCCTCTTGATGCTCCCTGCCTGCTGCCCAGCCTGCCTCTTGATGCTCCTGTGCTTGCTGCCCAGTCTGCCTCTGATGGTTTTCTGCTCACTACCCTGTTAGTCTTCAGTTGAGGTCTCACCCACTGTTGGGTCTAATTTTGCTGTGCCTCCAAGTTTTCACATGCCTGGTATGGGCTTCCCAAATGGTCAAATATTCCGATTGCTGCCCCTCCTGGGTCTCTTGCAGCCATTTGTTGCGCCAAGGTTTTATAGTCTAGATTCCCACTTTGGAAGTAAGGACTGCATTCTACAGTTAAGCCCCAGTAGTAGAGGCCTTCTGGGAAAGGGCAGAGTTCCATCTGACCCTTGCCCTGACCTAGGTGGTATCTCTGCAATCCCAGGTGCATTAGGGGACCCTTGCCTTGGGTAGACCTATGTGGCTGTTAGAGGGTGGGGCAGTTTCTGTCAAACCAGATTTTGAAGGTCCCGTTGCAATGGGGCACCCTGGCGTCAGGGTAATTGCATGGGCCAGGTGTTAGGCCGTCAGCTAGCCTTTGGGGTCCCAGCGTTGGGACATGTGCTGCATTGAGGGCATGGAGATTTCAGATGTTGCACCTCTTCAGGGATCCGACCTGTGGGGAACCCAGACAGCTTTTGGACACTGGCAGCGGTGTACGCAGTCAGCTTCTAGACTCTGGCGGTTGGGGCACATAACCAGTTACCAGGCTTGGGTAGCACGCCTTCCAGTGGGTTAAAAGACTGGTCTGAAGCGTGCAAGAGAGTCCTCAGACACTGAGGGGAAACTTTTTGGGATTTATCCTGCACCCACAAGGACTTTCGGGTTAAAGTCGAAATGGAGTGTCCGGAGGCCGCTTCTCAGGGGGAGAAGAACTGTCAAGACTTGTCTTTACTTGGGTCACATGTTGGTGGCACTGTTGTTCTGGAATCGAAGGACGTAGTTCCGGTGGCATCCAGCAAGTGTCTCCATGCAGCTAGACTGTAAAAATAATTAGGCTGCACAAGATGTGGACTGCTGGATGGTATATAAGGGCAGCTTCCGATCGCCTAGGCAATCGCAGTGGAAGTGGGAGCGGGTACCTGTCAATTTCGGGTACCTTCTCCCCAAAGGTGCCAATCTTTACTGGGAGCAGGGGACCAGTCTTTAAAGCGGAACTTCCTCTTTTGGGTGGAGCTCCGCTTTAACCTTATTCAGTCCAATTCCTGATTCCTTAAGGTACAGCCCACTGATCTCCACCCTTGCTGGATGCCTGCATCCCTGACAATATCTTTACAGGCAAAGGAAACACCGTGTTAATTGCAAGTGATGCTTGTTTTTATTGACCCTATTATGGGCATAATTACAAACCTGCAGCTAATATCTTGTTTTGTATTTTAGCTTAAAGGTTTATCATTGCCAAATCTAGGTTCCAGGTACCTGTCTATTTACTCTTTCTCTTGTCCTGTATCATATGCAGTTTACTCTTGCCCAAGTGCCAAGTAATCCATTCTTGATACAAATATTGCTCATTCATGCATTTCTGTACCTGGGAAGCTTAATCAGTCACATTAGAAAATGCAACAAAGTAGGTTGACTACTCCCCCAGAAAGTCACCCAGTGTATTGGTTTTCTAAATGGGTCTGCTCCCAATGCATAGTGATAGTTGCACAAATTAAATGTAAAGATTTGGCTATGACTTGGCTGCAAGCATTAGTGAAAACAGATATTATGTCTTCAGTTTCTGGTGAAAATTTCATTAATTATTTCAGCTTGCAAAACCGTAGCCACTTAGTGTTACCTCACTGCTTTGCTATTAGTTGTCCACTGCTATTCAGTATTTATGTTAACTCTACACTCCACCTTCCTGCCCAGTCACATCATCATCTTAATTATATACAGATAACATTTATATCTGGCATAATGTAGAATATTGTTTCTACAGTTTTGATGAGGTAACTGGGAAATGTAGTACACTGGAAATCATCCAGAATAGGCAGAAAAGAGAAAATGTTTTTCTATTCTATACTGAAGCTTTGTTTATGGCAGAAAAATGTTTCTCCTAGAATATTGTTTTGACACACTCTGACTGACCCGTTCTTCTAAATTTAAAGTTTCCCACAGGAAACACTTTTCTGAAATGGAAGCTATATTGTGAAGTTGAAAAAAGTACAATGATGTTTATACAATAAAACACTTGCTGTTAACAGAATTCTGTGTCTTCAATTTATTTGAACAAAAGATGTACTTGTTTCTTTAGGTTCTTTTACAAGGCTGCAGAAGTGTGGAATTGGACTGCTGGGATGGGGATGATGGCATGCCGATTATATATCATGGACACACACTAACAACTAAAATTCCCTTTAAGGTAAAGTACTTGTCATACAGCAATACAGATAACCACAGAAATACATTTTAAAGAAATTCCTCATGTAAAGTTTACAGTAAAGATGTTGAATCGTTACACCATATAAAAACATTGCCTGCATCAAATTTAGTGAAGTTTATGTAATATTTAAGCGGAACTGGAACTCCAGGGTAATATTGAATGTCCAAACACATACTAGGGGAGGAGAAGTGACTGTTTTCCTATTCTTACTTTAAAATATATATATCGCCAAAACTTTTTTTGCTAGCGGAATGGTTAAAGAAATGGTTGAAATCCATCAATTTTTTTTTCTGCTGTCTATGTCCCAATGGGAAGATTTTCTTTCATTTCTTGTATTGAAGCGCAACACAAAGTGAGAGGAGATATCTTAGAAGTGTGGGAATTCTTTTCATAGACAGTTGCCACCTGAACAAGTGTCACCATGTAAGCTTTTCTTTCTATTCAACATAAAAAAATGTTCCCTCACGTTCAATCCTGGTGACAGTGGTCCCCAGGACAAATACAGAGGATGCATCTCCCCAGCAGGGCCTTAGACAGCAACTTGACAGATGTTCTAACCATTTTATACTCTAGATAAAAAAACACTGTTAGATACAGTTGATATAGGTGAGTATCTTTAAAATTATTTTGATGGGAACAACAAAGGGGGTTGTTGAACTGTGCATATAATAGATAAAAGATTGGACATAGATATAGAACATATAATGGAAACACTTAGATTATTATATGTGTTTGAAAATTTGCTGAAGAGATTTGTTTTTTGTCTCAAATGTGATTGAGATGTGTTCTTTTAACAGGATGTAATAGAAGCTATTGACCGCAATGCATTCATTAATTCTGACATGCCAATTATACTCTCCATAGAGAATCATTGTTCCTTACCCCAGCAACGAAAGATGGCTGACATTTTTAAGGTAAATTGGGGCTGCTTTTGTAGTGTCCCTGTTTGTGTTTATACAGTACATTTTTACACTTTGTACCATTCTGTTCTCTTTTAGTCTGTGTTTGGTGAGAAATTGGTGACAAAATTTCTTTTTGAGAGTGATTTCTCTGATGACCCCATGCTTCCTTCTCCTTGGCAATTAAGGAAAAAAGTGCTACTGAAAAACAAGAAACTCAAAGCACACCAAACTCCTGTGGACATTTTGAAGCAAAAGGTCAGTTTGTGACACTTCTTGGTGTATGACTGATTTATATATTCATGGGCACTGCAATGCTTAAGGAGAGTATATAGTAGGGTGCTTTAGCATGATATAGCGTTGTGTATCCTTATTTTTCAAGCTAAAAACAAACGTTTAACAAAAAGGTAAGTGCACACCTGTGTCTGCAGTGAAGGAGAAACTGAAGGTAGTTTGCCTGGCGGTAGCCATTGTTATGCCTATGAGGATGTTCATTAACAAACTTTTGTTATGGCCTTGTAAATGTTCTAGAGAAGGGGTACTCTGGGGTGTTGTAACACTGAGCAAGAGCAGTTGCACCATTCAGTATGGAGGTAGTATTGTGTCCCTTTTTAGCACACCTGTGTGTACTCCGCTATTAGGCACAATACACTTTTTGAACCTTCATTACTACTGGCTTAGTGGTGGCAATGAATAAAAATTTTTGTCCATTCAATAGTCATTTTTGATTAACATTGTTTTCTCTTTCCATTTCCATATCCACACCATGATTTGTTTGCAATTAAATGCTTTTTAATAAGTGGATAAAAAATATTTGATCAATTACCCTATGCAATGTTAATAAGAATCTGTAAGGGACCGCCCGGCGGTACCACTAGCACTCCACTGAATAGGCGTCCCCAGCGCACGGAATCTAAGTCCCAGAGTGCTTGTTCACCAGGGCCCCTGATGGTGGGGATGGACTTGGAGCACCCCGAGACCAGGTCGTGGCTACTGGGTACGTCCGTCAGTGGTAGTGGTATGCGCCGAGGGCTCCCACGGGAAAGAGTCTGATATGAGGAGGTCTGAAGACCCCACTGCGAGGGATGGATGGATGGTTGAGCAAGGTCAGACAGGCCGGGTCGGTAACAGAGAGGACGGTACGGTACAAGACAGCGGGCAGAGAATAGTCGGATCACACGCCAGGTCAGCAACAGCAGGTCAGATCCAATAGGGGGCATCCAGGAGAGAGGTCAGACAAAGCAAGGGTCAGGACAGGAGAATATGACAAGGTCAGGTACAATCCGGTCAAAAACTCACAGGGCACAGGTTCGCAGAATCAGGAATGCAGGTAAGACCAGAAGGCACTGAATGACAGCTCAGGGCCGTTTAAATATCGCGCCCTGCACTGCCATTGGTGCCCAGCGGGCGGCCGCGGCTTCTACTGCGCATGCGCGAACTCGAACGCCGCGGCCGGCCCGGACCTAGTGCCCGCGTCCCTGCACAGGGCGGCCCACTGCGCCTGCGCCGGGACCATCGCTGCGGGGATCGAGGGGATCCCTGACATTGCCCCCCCCCCCCTACGGGCAACCTCCGGATGCCCACCCGATCTCTCCACCACGGGTGATCACGAAAAAAACCTCCGGACAAGTCTGGGTGCATGGACATTATGGGCTGGTTCCCAAGAATTGTCCTCAGGGCCATAGCCCTTCCATTTGATTAGGAATTGGGTCTGGCCCCCCCTCCTTCGGCACTTCAGGATTGTTTCTACCTCAAATTCTTCTTCTTCTTCGACCGTTATGGCCTCTCCGGAGGTCTGGATTCTCGTTCTGGGAAGGCATCTGGGATCACTGGTTTCAGCAGGGACACATGGAAGACCGGGTGGATCTTGAGTGTGTCAGGGAGGACAAGTTCGTAAGCCACCTCGTTGACCATCCGCTTAACGCAAAAAGGGGCCTATAAATTTAGGTCCCAATTTCTTTGAAGGGCAAAGCATCTTTAAATTGGATGTAGCTAACCAAACCTTCTCCCCGGGCCGCAACACCAGATCTCCTCTCCGTTTCCTGTTGAATGCCTTCTTGTAGTCCTCTTGGGCCCGACTGATGGCCTCTTGTAGTTTTTTGTTGTTTGTGGAAAAAAAACGTTACTGCATCTTGTGTTGCTGGAACTGGGCATTCCGAGACCAAATCCGGGAGGAAGACAGGGTGAAACCCATAATTGGAAAAGAACGGGGACTGCCCCGTTGCTGAATGGCAAGCGTTGTTGTACGCGAATTCCACCAGGGGTAGAAGTGGCATCCAGTCATCTTGAGCAAAAGATGTGTAGCATTGCAAGTATTGCTCCAGGGTCTGACTGGTCCTTTCGGTCTGTCCGTTAGTCTGAGGGTGGTACGCAGAGGAAAGGGACAATTTGATGTCCAGGGCTTTGCATAATGCCCTCCAAAATCTCAACGTAAACTGGACCCCTCGGTCCGAGACAATATCTTCGGGGACCCCATGCAGTCTTACAACCTCACGAATGAATACCCGCGCAGTCTCGGCTGCCGATGGAATTTTCTTCACTGGAATAAAGTGTGCCATTTTGGATAAACGGTCCACGACCACAAGGATTGCCGTGTGGTCTAGTGATGGTGGAAGCTTGACTATAAAATCCAGCGAGATTCTTTGCCAAGGTCTTTCAGGAATCGGTAAAGGCCGCAGCAGACCCCAAACTTTGTTCCTTGATGGTTTGTTCTTCTGGCAGGTGATACAGGATCTTACATAGCCCTTACAATCTTTAGCCATGTCCGGCCACCAGAAGGAACGTCGGAGAAGCTCTAGGGCAGTGATGGCGAACCCGTGGCACGCGTGCCACAGCCGGCACGCCGAGCCTTATCTGTGGGCACGCCAGGAGAATCCAGCGGCGCGCTGTCTTCCCGGCTGTAGTGTGCGTGACAGCCGGGTCCCAAGTGCGCATGCACAAGAAGCAGTGCTCTTTGTGAATGGTAAGGCGGTACCTTGGACACATGACAGATCCCAGAAGCCGCCGGACCAATCACAAAGCGCAGCGCTTCTCGCGCATGCGCACTGGGCATCCGGCTGTCCGACGAGCGCCCCCACACTACAGAAGCCGGGAAGACAGCGCGCGGCTGGATAAAGGAACAGGTAAGATAAAAAAAAAAAAAAAACTCTGCGGAAGTAAGAGCGGGTACCTGTCAAATTCAGGTACCCGCTCCCCCTCCCTCCCCAAAGGTCAGCAGTCATCCCTGTACTGTCCGCAGTCTCTGGTCATCCCTGTGCTGTCCGCAGTCTCTGGTCATCCCTGTGCTGTCCGCAGTCTCTGGTCATCCCTGTGCTGTGTCCGCAGTCTCTGGTCATCCCTGTGCTGTCCGCAGTCTCTGGTCATCCCTGTACTGTCCGCAGTCTCTGGTCATCTCCTGTACTGTCCGCAGTCTCTGGTCATCCCTGTGCTGTCCGCAGTCTCTGGTCATCCCTGTACTGTGTCCGCAGTCTCTGGTCATCCCTGTGCTGTCCGCAGTCTCTGGTCATCTCCTGTACTGTGTCCGCAGTCTCTGGTCATCCCTGTACTGTCCCGCAGTCTCTGGTCATCTCTTGTACTGTGTCCGCAGTCTCTGGTCATCCCTGTACTGTGTCCGCAGTCTCTGGTCATCCCTGTACTGTGTCCGCAGTCTCTGGTCATCCTTGTACTGTGTCCGCAGTCTCTGGTCATCCCTGTACTGTCCGCAGTCTCTGGTCATCCCTGTACTGTCCGCAGTCTCTGGTCATCCCTGTACTGTCCGCAGTCTCTGGTCATCCCTGTACTGTGTCCGCAGTCTCTGGTCATCCCTGTACTGTGTCCGCAGTCTCTGGTCATCCCTGTACTGTGTCCGCAGTCTCTGGTCATCCCTGTACTGTCCGCAGTCACTGGTCATCCCTGTACTGTCCGCAGTCTCTGGTCATCTCCTGTACTTTCCGCAGTCTCTGGTCATCTCCTGTACTTTCCGCAGTCTCTGGTCATCCCTGTACTGTCCGCAGTCACTGGTCATCCCTGTACTGTGTCCGCAGTCTCTGGTCATCTCCTGTACTGTGTCCGCAGTCTCTGGTCATCCCTGTACTGTCCGCAGTCTCTGGTCATCCCTGTACTGTGTCCGCAGTCTCTGGTCATCCCTGTACTGTCCGCAGTCTCTGGTCATCTCCTGTACTGTCCGCAGTCTCTGGTCATCTCCTGTACTGTTCGCAGTCTCTGGTCATCTCCTGTACTGTGTCCGCAGTCTCTGGTCATCTCCTGTACTGTGTCCGCAGTCTCTGGTCATCTCCTGTACTGTGTCCGCAGTCTCTGGTCATCTCCTGTACTGTCCACAGTCTCTGGTCATCCCTGTACTGTGTCCGCAGTCTCTGGTCATCCCTGTACTGTGTCCGCAGTCTCTGGTCATCTCCTGTACTGTGTCCGCAGTCTCTGGTCATCTCCTGTACTGTGTCCGCAGTCTCTGGTCATCTCCTGTACTGTGTCCGCAGTCTCTGGTCATCTCCTGTACTGTGTCCGCAGTCTCTGGTCATCCCTGTACTGTCCGCAGTCTCTGGTCATCCCTGTACTGTGTCTGCAGTCTCTGGTCATCCCTGTACTGTGTCTGCAGTCTCTGGTCATCCCTGTACTGTGTCTGCAGTCTCTGGTCATCCCTGTACTGTGTCTGCAGTCTCTGGTCATCCCTGTACTGTGTCTGCAGTCTCTGGTCATCCCTGTACTGTGTCTGCAGTCTCTGGTCATCCCTGTACTGTGTCTGCAGTCTCTGGTCATCTCCTGTACTGTGTCCGCAGTCTCTGGTCATCCCTGTACTGTCCGCAGTCTCTGGTCATCTCCTGTACTGTGTCCGCAGTCTCTGGTCATCCCTGTACTGTGTCCGCAGTCTCTGGTCATCCCTGTACTGTCCGCAGTCTCTGGTCATCCATGTACTGTGTCTGCAGTCTCTGGTCATCCATGTACTGTGTCTGCAGTCTCTGGTCATCCCTGTACTGTCCGCAGTCTCTGGTCATCTCCTGTACTGTGTCCGCAGTCTCTGGTCATCCCTGTACTGTGTCCGCAGTCTCTGGTCATCCATGTACTGTGTCTGCAGTCTCTGGTCATCCATGTACTGTGTCTGCAGTCTCTGGTCATCCATGTACTGTGTCTGCAGTCTCTGGTCATCCCTGTACTGTCCGCAGTCTCTGGTCATCCCTGTACTGTCCGCAGTCTCTGGTCATCTCCTGTACTGTGTCCGCAGTCTCTGGTCATCCCTGTACTGTGTCCGCAGTCTCTGGTCATCC